AGGGCCAATCCAATTGCAAGGCATGGGCGCATGGCCGGTTGTTGACTACTAAGGAGGGTTCAAATTGCGACATAGTATTAGATTTTATACTTTGGTGTTTATAACTTTAACGAAATAGTCTCATTTTTAATTCTGATTATGTTGAAGGCGAGTCTGAGTTGAAAAAGGATAGAGCATGAAAGATGAAACCTATTGAACATTATCATACTCGTTAGTAAATATTGTAGGTGGTGGGAGAGTTAATCGTCAAATATCTTATTAATCTCCTCTTATAAGATGATAGTATAAAATAATATTGTCGGTGTCAGAAAATTGTAAGAGGATGTCACAACTTTTGGTGGTGTGATCCGAGATGAGGAAGGACGTTGGTTTCTGAGTTTATGAAGAGCATTGGTCTATGCTCGGTTTTAGACGCAAAACTTTAAGGGTATACAAAGGTTTGTGTTGTAAAATTTTATTTTGGAAATGAACAAAGTTTGAGACTAATAATACGACTGTGGTGCCACGACTTAAGAATAGCTCTTCAAAGGGGCGATAGTCTACAACCCTACAATCATGTTTGGTACTTCTGTGTATTGGCTGGGAGGCAAGTGTGGTGTACTGCTTCTGTGAAAGTTACATTTTCACTGATGATATGACTAATTTAACTTGAAGTTTTGTTTTCGAATATCATAATTTTCTTACTCCTTTCAACAAGGCTAACCATAAATTCTTGGTCGATTCAGAACCAAATTCAATTCTGAAAAAGAGCCAAAAACGAAAACAAAGCATACACTTCCCGCTAACGCAACTTGATACTACTATTTCCTTGTGGCACAGTAGGTGTTTTCATGGTTGGCCTCACAGCATGGCATTCCCTGCACGGCGACACCAACGATAACAACAATTTCTGCCCAAACCACGATCTCGACCCACCACGCTCCTTTTTACCTCGATTCGATCTACGCGAAACTTTCGCCTCACTGCCACGGTTTTCACTGGACATCTCGCTACCACTATCGAGAGACGGTGGATTCGCACCCGAAATGAACTCGAACTCGTGGTCGTCTTTATCGTTATAGGCTCGGTGGGGATGAGAGTTGGCTAGTTGATCTTGAATACACACGAGACCTGCAAAGGAGAGGGAATCAAGTGAAGTGCCATCATCGGCTGCAGCATCCATGACCATGGGAATGTTGTTGATTTGCTTGTGGTTTCCCATTGATCCCAGAGCTTATATATAATCAAGCTCTCTGTTTTGTTTCATTTGTTCGGCGGATCTACTGATGAAACAGGGGAAGTAAAATAATGGAACCGACATTTTGATGGTAACGAATTTGTAGATGCTTGTGGTTTGGTGTTATTTGTTTCGGCCAAATTCTTTAGACTCGGATGCTTGAACTTGGTGGCGATACCAACGACGTAGGGTAACAGACAGAGTGACAAATCTCTGATACGTTGATTCTGTTTTTTTGGTCATTCAGTATTTGCCAAATATTATTTTCTTCCTCAACATATCTGTACACAAATATCATTCTCATAGGAGTTTTCGATTTTAAATTTATAAAATTTAAATAATTGAAAAAAAAATATAAATTAATAATTTTTATAATAAAATAATTTAATTATTTTATGATTTAATTATTTATTATATATATATTATTTTATTTTAGCTTTGCTTTGACTAAATCTGAATTATATTCCTATACGAGTATATATAATATCGTCATTAGGGATGTAAATGGATCGAGTTTGAATAAATACAGTTGTGTTCGTGTTCATTTATTTATTTTTGAAGGTGTTCATATTTATTCATTTACCATTCGTGTTCGTAGTGGTGTAAATGAACTGATAAACAAAGTTGTTCATATTAGGCAACCAATACTCTCCTTTCACCCTTTTATTTGCTAGCAAAGAAAAATAGTGAAACTATGTCACTAGTCCTTAATTTCCTTAGACTTTATAATTTGAACTCTAAAGTTTATCTTATGTTCAATTCAATCCTATCTCACGAATATTTAAAATATAAAAAAGAAAAAGAAGAATTGAGTAGATGATTTCTAAACGAGTCGATAAAAAAGTTTGTTAGTGAATATAAACGAACCAAACACATTTATTTGTGATCGTTCGTTTATTAAATAAACATAAAAAATTTATTCGTACTCGTATATTTAATTTAATAAATAAATATAAACGAATGATTAAAAAAATAGTGGAATGCTATGGTTGCACCCATAATCATAAGATTTTATTAACTTCCAACTTGGTTTGAATTTTTTTAAAATAAAAATTTAACTTGAATCAATCATAAGATTTAGAACCACACAAACAACATCACAACATCGACAACAGAGACATTAGTGGAAATGGGAACCAATTGGGTCACTTTCTAAACACATGACACGTGATGGCAACTTTCTGCTAATGCAAAGCTCAAATTATATCATGGGAGGCCCCTCATTGTGCCCCCGTCTATAGTTTCGACACATGTTCCTCCTCTAATATGCCGTTAGTTTATCCCTCTTCTTCTCTTCTCTGTTTTTATTAATTCTATTTTTTTTTAAAAAATAATATATAAAAAACATGCTAGGGCTGAGTTGTTTGGTTTTAATTTGGTATATGATGCAAAGCAACAAAACAACCTCCGATTCCCATATGGTAAAAGCAAAGGAAAACGATGGGTGGTGCGCAGTAATGCAGCTGTTTATGCTCATTATTCTCAACGATAGGTTCGACAAAAAGCTGGAACTTCATGAGACCCATAATTAAGAGAGCTGTCTAGGTGGTTTTAAGACACAAACATGTTACTACAAAATTCCCAACTCTCGACACCCCTTCTTTTAGCCGTTCCACTTGACAGATCAAAAGACTTACCTAACACTAAAGACAAGCATGGATTAGGGATTGGAAAGGACCGAGGATATTCATCTTTTATAAATTTAAAATTATTATATATTTTATATATTTTTTTGTGTGTTTTTTTCCGATAATTTGTCTTTTATCTCTTAAAATTTTAAAAATTTGTTTCCTTAATATAAAATTTTGCTTATGTCTCAAGCTAAAGGTATTAAGATTATACGTTGTTCATGTGAGAAAAAAAATAATGCAAGTTCTATATTGGTGAAACTTGATTTCAGTCTATCTTCTATGTTTAGATTTGGAACTTAGTAATTATATTTTAATTTGATATAATTTAATCTTAATTTATAATCTCATTGATTAATCTAAATTGTTATCTTCGTTTATTACTCTAATCAACTTGACTCTGTGAATTTTTTCATAAATCAACAATTTTAACTCATTACACTAACATGGGGTTTTTTATATAGAAAAAGTGAATTTTAGAGAAATCCATGTAAGCTTTCTAATCTAAATAATTAATGATTTTAATTATTTCAATTAACAAATGATATCAGAAAATGAGTGATCAAATTATGCAGAACTGAATCCATGGCACTGGTAAAGTAATTTCAATCAACACAACATATAAAAGGGAACCCTAATGTCATTTTTTCATATCATATATATGGCTTAATACAAAAATAAATATTCAAACTATACCCCTTTTTCCGAATAGGTGTCTAAAGTATTTTTTGACCCGTGTCTAACGTTAAAAACGTTATCATTTTAGGTGTCAAGATAGTCAATGACGTTAATTTCCTCCGTTAAGTGACACGTGTCACAATTTGGTGATTTTAAATTTTATTTTTAAAAAATATTATTATATTTATTAAAAACCTTAATTTATCTCACAATATAAAAAATCCCTAAAATCTCCAAATCCTAACATTAACCCACTAATGTCGCCCTTTCTGGCCACGACCACAACCACCGACGTAGTCCTTGCCATCTTACTAGTTATAAACTGTAGTAATTGTCGCTGATTGATCATCGAAGTAGCGTGGGATCGTAATTTTTATCTTAGGGTTCGCAGGATATAAAAAATCGATTCGTCGTCGATCGATCGTTGATCAATCATGGTTTCATAGGGTTTTGATCACCAAAGGAGGTGAGGTCGGGTGGAGCTTCATCGACAACAAATGCCAACAATCGGCGTGAGTTTAGGGGTTGAAATGAAGGTTTTCAAACTTTTGGATTTATTTTAAAATTTGTGTTTTTTTAAAATATATAATTTTGATTTTTTAATTTTAAATAAAAAATTTAAAATTACCAGATTGGGACACGTGTCACTTAACGGGAAAAATTAATATCGTCGACGGTCCGGGCACCTAAAGTGGTAACGTTTGTAACGTTATACACCGGGATGAGTCAAAAAATACTTTAAGAACCTATTCGAGAAAAGCGATATAGTTTTGACACTTACTTTAGTATTAAGCCCACGTACAAATATATATATATATATATATATATATATATATATATATATATATATATATATATATATATATATATATATATATATACGTACGTACATATTTGTATGTTCTAGTTCTAACCCGCATTGAAATTTTTATATATTTGGTATATTTTATAATAATTCTATAAATAAGAAAACAAAATAGTTTGCTTACATAGATAAGATGGACCAAATATTATACTCACAGAGTCTAACTTAGAGAAAAATTCACTATAATATCCGTAGTACAAGAGATATAAATCTTTAATCTAACTACACACTAATTGTATGTATTCTTCCGTTCAAGATTATCTTAATTATTCTCTGATCTTCATTGATTACTTAATGCTCAGACACACCTTACAAAATTCGTAATTGTTTCTTAATAAAATAATATGTCCATCACAAAGATAACTCTCTTCCAATTCATACTATACAAACCCTCAAAACTCATGAATAATTAAAACCTCGATTTTAATATATATATATATATCCTTTATATCTTTGTTAATTGAACAACCCTAAAGTTTCTAGCTTACAAATAAATGACCAAACCCTAAAGATTTTAGTTTTTATGTTGGAAATAATGCATGTAATGAACCAAAGCATACAAGAAAGCATTAAACGGCCGAAGGAGACCGACAAAAAAGCGCACACACACATATATATAAAGGCTTTCCATAGATAAAGATAGATTTTCTTGCAGAGCTAGCAAGAAAAGGTGCATAATTCAGATTGACAGAAGAGAGAGAGCAAACCATTACATCTAAAATTCATCTTAGATGAGCATTGGTGAAGGCCTTCCTATATATAGGTTTCATAGTAAATTCGAGGGTGAGTTATGAAGTATCATAAGCTTGCCTTCAAGCTACTTAATAATTCGATCCTTCTTCATGATATTCAGATGAGCTTTTCCGACGTCGTTCGTTGTGTCCGGCCAAACGCCTTCTACAACTCCTTTTCGCTTCATCGAACTCTGATAATTCATGAAACCTGCATTATCATAATCATTTTAAAGAGATTATATAGTTTGGGTTAATTCTAAATAAGACAAATTCATATAGATAAATATTATACTTAAAAAAACGATTAGTGACAACTCTCTCACATAAGTACAATTGGGTAACGAAATTGATAAAATCAAAAGATCGATTTCAATCAAATTATACAATTCGGGTTGAATTTTTCATCTTACAGTTCAATTTAGACATCTAACTTGTCGATTGGATTTCAATTTTCTATGAAACCTATTTATTTCAAATTAAATCAAATTAAAAAATAATAATATCAATAATTGTTTTAAATTTATTATAAGATAAATTTAAATTAATAAAATCATACAACTAATAATATTGTTTTTTATGAATTTAAACATATATGTTTGTATTTGATTTAACTTTTGAAGTTTCCTTTTTTTGGATATTGAATTAAAAAAATGATGAACAAATAGAAATTGCAAAGCTGAATCGAACCAAACCAAAATATTTGGTTCTAATGTCATATTCAGTTTCAATTTTATTTTTAAATAATCATAAAGTACAATTTGATTATCTTTTATTTAAAAAAAATTAAAGCGAATACATCCCGTGAGAATCAATATACAATAATATTTAATTAAAAAGACTCTTATTCACCATCTTCCTATTTTAATCTGAAATATTTCTAAATAGAAAAAAATATTATTTCATGAAAATAGAAAATAATCACAAAATTAGATCAATGATCTACAAGTCCAAGTCAACAAGTCAACATTTTTAATTATGGTATAGTTGAATTACAAAATTAGGGTTTATGGGAAACTCAAACCTGCTACATTGTTGGCAAAAGCGTTGATGGATCCCAGCAACTCGAACGGCGGGAGCCTTGGCATGGAACTCGCAGACCTTATGCCGTCGATGGTAGCGCTTGGCGTCGGTCATGTCGGCAGGGCAGTCCTCGACCTGGCAGGCGGGTAGGGTTGACCCGCCGGAGTATCCTCTCTTCCCTCTCTTCTTCTTTTCATCGTCACCGGTGGTGTTATCTTCGTCTTCTTCTTGATCTTCCTCTTCTTCCAACTCCATTAGCCTCCTCTTGCCTTCGGCTTTGCTGGTTGCCATCTCCGGGTTTGAACACGAAGGAGAGAAAGCAGAGATGTGGATTATATATAGGAAGAGACAACAATGGAGAAGAATAAGAAAAAAAGGGAGGCTTTTGAGAGATAAGAAGGTTAAAGAGAGAATCATGTATGAGGACCATAAAGTTCCATTTCGGTCCTTGTCACCATTAGTTCCACAGTTGAAAGAAGGTAGAAAAGCTCAAAGGAATAAATTTAGCTCACAAGGCCTTAAATCTAATGTCATGGAGCATCGTATTCTATTAATAAAGTCTCGAGTTTGAATTTTATGAATAAAAAATTATTTCACATTTGTATTCTAAATATATATTTATAATAGACATAAATATATCTGTAGACTTTTCATGACTTTTAATGCAAAAACATGTATATTAAATATAGAAACTGATCTATGATCAAATATTTTAAGGAATAAACTATTTAAATTAAAAATATTAGAAAAGATAAAATTTTGATTTCACTAAATTTATAAGGACCTAATATTATTATACCAAAATTTTTGACAGGGTGTATCTGACAGGAGGTAACTGGTATATAACGTTAAATATTGTCAGACAAGAGTGAAAAGTATAGTGAAGATTTATCCATATCATGTACTGGTGCTCTTTGACTTAGTCTTTATTGCATTTATAAGGTTAATTCATAGTGATGTCCCCAAACTATAGTTAAGATTCTAAATTCACACTTTAAATTATTTTTAACACATTAAATTCAAATCATTTATATGATAGACATGTATGTATTTATAATTTGATCTACATATTTTAAAAATACTCCACATATATCTGAACTGAAATTTAATATTCGAATTGATTATAAACTTGATGAAAATACATGATTAACATAATATTGATATTTTGGATACTCAATTGAAATGTTTTTGAGTTTCAAGACCAATTTAAAATTTGAACTATAATTAAAGGACTTCTGGTGAAAGAACTTGAAGAATAAAGTTGTTTTCACGTTAAGAAACTTGTTGCAAAGACCGTTTTATCCATATCAAGTTTTGTTGTTTCGTTAATAAAAAAAGTCTTGTTGTTTTGACTTGTTCTCTATTGCATATACATACATATATATATATAGAAGTTTTGTTGAATCGACGATTAAATGTTCAATGTCCTTTAAGGAAGATTCTAAATTCAAGTATTGTAGATAAAAATATAATGCTATAAGAGTTTGGTTTAAGAAATTATGGATGATTATGTGTCGGGTCAAGTTAGATTTTTGATATATTTAAACTCGATTCGAGTTAAACATATCTCTATTTATCATATAATTCGAATTTGGATTCAATTTTTGAGATATAAATTCACATTCGAACTAATTTAATTTATAAAAAAATCTTATTTTATTAGGCAAAATAAGATACTAATTAAAAAAAAATAAATAAAAATGTATTATTTTAATTAACCCTAAATATATAAGGAATACTTATAATATTATCTTGGATTGCATTTTGATTTTCATATTAAACTGAAACTTGACCCAATTTGACCTTATCCTTAAAAAATTTTGACTTGTCATGAATCCATTTCTTTTAAAGGAAGTGACTCTATATGTTAGGTTAGTATCGATCGAATTCAAGTTAAATATCTATTATAAAATCAGATTTGAATTGATTTAATTTTGAACTTATTCGAATCCCTTATGACTACATTTCGAACCAAAATATATATTAGTGATAGTTTTTTTAGGAATAGTCTACGATGATTACAATGTGTATTTGTTCATAATCTTTTTAAACTATTGACAAGGTGCACAAACTCATAAATACAACTGTTTAAATTCAAAATCCTTAAAAAAAATAAAACTTCTTTTAACGAATGAGACCACTACTTGATGGGTTGATATTATTACTATCCATAGTCCTTTTCCTGAAATGGGGACAGTTTGCTGGCAAAACATGTAAAAGTGGGATTAAAAGAACCCATTGGAAATGGTCCATTGTTAGCTTGAAGACGGCCCCTCAACTATCATAATACATACAATTTTCCTATAGCACCCTATATATAATTCTCCCATTGTTTTCTCAGTTTGGCGTCTAAGCCAACGGGGTTGCACGTAAGTGGGAAGCTGCCAAAAAGCCCCTCGTGCCCCGGTTTGCTCCTACTCCCATGCTCGAAAGCAAAACAGGACCACATCGTCTCGTACATTTTATCGAGTAGATTGGTCCCCATTGTCTAATTGTATGAGGAGGTCACGCTCGACTGTGGCTCCTGCCTCAAGTTAAGTCGATTCAATTGGAGGTTGACTTTGCTGTCACCTTCTGTACCAAGGGACCCCTCCTGCATTCATTATAGACGAGGGTTGTTTTACCATTATCCTATACTTTCCCCGCTTTTATATAAACGGATTTCATTTCTTCCTGAAAAATTCAACTTCGACATATGATAATAAAGACATGATTTTCAACAATAATCTTTAAAATATATGAATATAATTTAAAAAGAAAATCTAATTATATCTGTTGTGAATATATACGTATATCTATATTTGAAGCGTTCATGTTAGACCCTAAACTATTTAGGGGGCCACGGATTCATTTCCAAGGTTCAATTTATATTTAGTAGGTACAATAATAGGGCTTGATGAACCCCAATAATTCATGTAAATGTAATTTGGTTGGAAATTTTAACCCTTTTTATCATTATTTTAGGCTCCACCTATATAATTTCACAATCATTCTACGACGACCTAGGGTTTCTAGCCCCTAGTTTATAAAATTAGGAGCAGGTAGGGGTCTTTGTTTGTCTAAGATGAAAATGTTTCGATTTCGACCACTACTAAATATAATAGTTTAGACTCTCTTGCATATAATAATGTAATTTAAGTCGTCTTCGATATAAAAAAATGTTATTTGAATGACCAAAACATTAGCATTTTAAAGTTGGATGATCATATCCCATTGGATGAACTCAATTGTAAAGCTAGTTTTGTTCTCTATAGAGGTTACATGTTGGAGTAGTTATCCCTATAAGATATGGGTTGCCAGTGGTTAAGAATGATTATAAACATATATTATCTTGTAATCATTTTAAATTATTTAAAAAAAAGTTGGATGGTCAAAACATTAACTTTCGTTAGGGGTTTAACGTTTGAGTGACTGAAACGTTAGCACCCTAAAAGTGGAGTGATTTATCCCAAACTTATTCAACATTTTAGATTAAATTTATCATAATCTGAGATTGTTGGTCCGATTCCTGAAGGAGACCAAGATATGTATTAGGCAAAGTGTGGTCCAAAAACATAGGTGTCACTTTGGGCTAAATCATGCCTTTGGTTTGTTTAAAGCAGTTAGTCGCTGTCAACATCTAGTGGTCGGCTTGTTATGGCCCATGGAAAACAAATAAAAACAAAGGCTCTTTGGGCTCCGCCAAATTTAAATTATGGCCCGTAATGAAAAAGTCGGTCTAATTATGAATTTCATCACTCTAGTTTATAAGATGAACAACTTGATCTCTTTACTTTAATATATCAGAATATGATCCTTGTACTTAACAAAAGTTGAGAAACTACTCCTATGTTGACATACAAATGAACTTGAACTATTGATTTATGTTCATTCTTTAGACATATATGATCGTTTTATCGATATATAATCAGTAGTTTAGCAACCATGCTTATTAATAGTGTAAAGTAGGCCAGAGATCAATGAACTTTTAAAAATTATAAAATAGTCATTATATTTATCAAATATTACAAAACGGTTACTGCAATGCTATAATAATTTAGTGATCATTTTTTATATAGATGATAAAATTTAATAATCATTTTATAATTATCAGTTAAATTTAATAATTATTATATAAATTAAAAAAATAAATAATCAAAATCATCATTTAAACATAATTCAGTACTTTTTCTATACTATACCCTTAATAATAAAACCTAATTAAACTAACATTTGGGTGAATCAAATCGACCAATAAATAAATAAATAGAAAGAAAACAGTGGACTAAGAGTCTATTATATATAAATGTGGGTTTGAGTGAATATCGATATCCAAAATCCCTAAGCAAATGCAAGGTATATTGTCGTATGAAAATCATAGGCAAATGAGGGACCAGCGTTCCACTATCGCTCTAGCAATGTCTCATCAACATAACTAAACTAATAACGACAAAATAATAAAAACAAACGACGATCATATATTTACGAGACGGTCGATATCTACATGTAATCGAAAGTCCAAGATCACAATAGCCGTTAAGAAACTGAGATTCATATGTCCAAAGAATAATCATTTAATTATTACTAGTTGCATGTATTTTAAGCTAAGTATTAAAGAAGAGCCTAATCTTATAGAATTGTTTGATAGAGGTTCAACGTTCCAAAAAATTGTTTTCGAGCCCCATTGACAGTACGATTTTGATATAAGATTATTGGTAAGGATGAAATCAATCAAATAAAATTTTTAAGTTGGGTCAATTTTATAGGGTCAATTTCCCCCCCCCCCCCCGAAAAAATATGTTTAAGTTGGGTTGGGTTCTATTTTTTAAGGATAAAGTCAGATTGAGCTTAAGTGTAGGATGAAAATATTTAATCAAATCCGATTCGAGAATAATAGTATAATTGGTATTTATATATTTATAGATAATTGTTATAATATCTCTCTCTCTAATTTTCAATTAGATTTATAGTTTACATAAAAATGAGAATTATATATAAATGTCAGTTTATATACATATGTTCTTATCATAGAAATCGAGTCGAATTCAAGTGAGGAGTGGAGGGATATAATACTCCTGTCGGTTCAGGCTAGTCAAAAATTTGATCCGACCCATGCATGCCCTTAATTGTATAAGAAGAGGGAAAAGAATGGTGGCCAAATTAATATTTTGTCTAACGTTTAAAGATCAAGTTAAAAATTAACATTTTTATAATGTGTCATGCTATCAAACTAATAAAATTTAATAGTTTAATAATCAAAACATAACAAATCGATAATGTAAATGACTAAAACTTATATTTTTTGAAAAAGTTAATGACTAAAATAAAATAGACTTAAAATAAAAGTGACATTGAGTGTAATTTACCATAAAATAAAAATGTATGGATCTGTCCCATTCCCACACCATTCTTAAG